TTCTTTTTATTGTGTCTCAATTTCATACTCTCTTCTGTTAATAGCTGATAGAGTACATCAGGTGTTTTGGGTCACACTCATTGTTGCTATCAATGCATTCTTTGGGAGTGGAAAGCAGATAATGCCAAAGGCAGTTTGAATTTTCTCATACAGTCTTTGTTTCACATTAACTGACTTTAGTTGCCATTCTATTCAGAAACGGTCCCTTGAGGAATAATTGCAAAAGCTCAATGGAATTGCTTTAGAAATATCTTGGATCTGGAAGTCTCTTTGTGCTTGGCATGACTAAGCCTCTGCCTTCTCATTTGTTTTATTACTATAATATTTTTGGGATGTTTTAATAATTACCAAATTTCCCCTTCCTGTACCATCCACTTGGCTCTTTTTAAATCTAGTGAAATGAAGCTCAGAATCTCCTATCTCTTCACTGGTCAGTCTTCAACTGCTCATCCATGGGTAAGAATAAAATATAACAAACGAATGGCAAGATTTATGTTTTTCAAAAGCTGTAACACTCTACTAAGGGACATAAAAGAAGATTTGAACAAATAGAGTGGTACTGGGTTTACTTAAATAGACCTAATTTTTCAAGATATGAATTCTCCCTCGAATTAATCATAAACCTAAAACAATCCTAATCAAAATCCCAAGAGTATCCAAAATTTAACTAGAGAAATAACAAAAAGAAAACAACTAAAGGGAATGTTCTAACAGATATTAAAACTTATTACTTACAGTCATTAAAATGGTGTGATACTGGCACAGGAAGAGCCAGACAGATCAGTATAACGGTGGTGAAGGGGGTGGTGAGCCACTCCGGTTCCCCTTCTGGGCTAAGGCTCTCATTTCTCCAGCTGCCCAAACGGTTGGTAAATGACAGCTTTCAGCTAAGTCCTTCTCTGGGAACTGCCCTTGGCTGAAGAAAGTAAATTCACTGGGGCACACCCCTACCCAAGGGCAACTTATATCCAATAACTAACCAGTCAACTGGGAGGGATACAAAGGCCAAGGGTCCTCCTCAAGGCAGAACAACTCCGCAGGGCCATCCCAGCTCCAGAGCTCCCCCTGGGACTGACTGAGGTCTTCACTGTAAACTGCATTATAGTTCAACTCTTCCACCTGCCTCATCCTGCTTCCTTCATCCCCCTCCAGCTGTTGATCCCAAGGGCACTTCCACAAACACTTTCTT